CATCCATCCCGGCTGGATGGATCAAGCTTTAATAGGAGTATGTCCATATTGTTTCTGTGAGTGAAAAATCTGAATACTGTTTTTTTAATTCTACATCACGATGCCAAGAACAACATGAAAACAGCTGAGTGTTCCATTCCATCTACTTAAGTTGTAAATCTCCAATCTGCAGGCCTTGAGGTTGTTGGAGCAGTATTGATCTTTGCAGCTGCCCATAAATGTGGTGTTACTCCTGGAAATTGAGTTCTATTTGTCTCTGCTATCATATCAGTTGTGTTCACAATGCTACACTTGAGATGAAATAGCTCTGTGGTCTACTTCAGGCAACTAGAACGCAGGTACAGTAGCAGGTAGTGTTGCAGGTAGAACAGGATCATGGATCATGCCTGCAGCCCAATGCAGCTCTCCTTGTTTTTCAGAGATACTGAAGCAAACACAGAATTAAATATTCCTCTGAACAGGTGATCCCAGTGTGATCTTTTCAGAGAATAACTGTTGACCTAAAAGTACAATAACTTTTTTGTCCAACTATTTGGAAGAAGTAATGTTAGTCTATTTAGTGAAAACTGAAATGGTTTGCAAGTTCAAAAAGAGTAACCACGTATCACACAACCATGGCAGTGCTGTGGATGGTTCTGTTCTCTTTAAAAGGGGAGACAGAAGAATTTAGTGGCAACATTGTCACATACAATGATGGAGTCTCTCCAGCTCAGCAACTGAGGTGATAATCATGACAATGAGCCTGCTGTTTACCCTCTGCTAAGTGACAACAGACACAATCAGCAGCCATCACCAAGTCCAGTGGCTGGGCGCCAGCGGTTCTGCCTAAGAACTGGCATACAGAGCCGAGACTGAGAATCAACTCAAGGTTGTTAGGTTCCAGTGCTGAGAATTCATACATTGCATCATGCTTTAGTTTATAATCGTTCCTACAGAAGTTTTATTTATATATATATATATATATATATCTATATATTCATTTATGTATTTATATATTTACATTAAAATATTTATATATATATATATATATATATATATATACATATACACACGTGTATACATATATATATATATATTCAATTCAATT